GTCAGTTAAACTGATAAGTGATGATCTGAATCCAATAAGTTAGTTGCTTATAAACTGTAAATTTCAAATAAACTTATACAGGTTTAGTAGTGATGAATATATATGAAGTGAAGAGTTTATCATTTAAATTCTTTTTTGTACTGGGATTCGAACACAGGACCTTGCACTTGCCAGGCAGGCTTGTGTCATTGAGCTATATCCTTGGCTTTATCATCATACAATAAAAGAAACTTGTGTTTATATGTGCATGTAATGTAGTTTAAATCCTAAGAAATAAATTCTGCATTAATGCAAACTAAACCACAATAACATGTTACCAAAAACAGATACCATTGAATTTCTCCAATTTTCTTTCTCTGCAGCGTCAGCCACTTTGGTTTATCAGTTTGCAATGAAATACAAGCCCTTTCAAGAAATGCCAGCAAGCTCCTGGGATCTGCCACACAAACAACAGAACCAGGTGACATAAGGGCCCAAAGCCAAACAGCTTCACTCATGAGATTTTCATATGACAGATTCCAAAGTCTGAATAGACCCCAAAATGCTAAAAAGCCTCTACTGCTGTCTTAGGAGGTTCAGATACATCTGAAACACAAGCAGGCAATCATTCTACGTCAGGAAAAAAAAAAAAAAAATGCTAACTGTGAGCCATGGTTTAAAAAGTCATCCAAAGGGGCTAGGGAGATGGCTCAGTGGAATAAGCACTTCCCTGGCAAGCGCAAGGGCATGAGTTTAATCCCCGGTTCCGCAAAAAAAAAGTCATCCAAAAAGGAAGGTATGATCTCACTCCTCATCCCTAATTCATAAAAAAGTAGTACACATGACTTTGCTTCTTGAGCAGGCTGAAAATGTTTAGATGGAAAACATGTTAAAACAGTCTTCAGAAAATCTTACTATGTTTTCTAATGTAAAAACTACGAGCAACACAAATACACATTGCATGCAGCACAGAAAACTCAAGAACTAATGATTGAGGGCCAGGCACGGTGGCGCACGCCTGTAATCCCAGCACTCCTGAGGCTGAGGCAGGAGAATCACTATGAGTTGGAGGCCAGCCTGGGTTACATATGAGTTCAAGACCAACCTGAACTACACAGAGAGACCATCTCAAAAAAAAAAAAAAAAAAAGAAAAGAAAAGAAAAGAAAAGAAATAAAGAAAAAGAGAAAGAGAGCAAGCGAGTGAGAGAGAGAGTGGGCAAGCGCTAACAAACTAGTGGTTAATACACTGTTGAAAGTGGTCATAAAAATGGTCCATGAAGACAGCCTGGCCCTCCGCAGACAGCAAGTGGTCACCGATGACAGCGTGTGGCCACTGCCCGAGTCACAGTCAGTCAGGCACACACTGGCCACCTCAGAGCAGCCAGTCTCCTGCAGCCCATCTCTGGGGCCATGGTTCCTGGAAACAGCTCCAAGGAGGCGGCCCAGGGACAGCCACACCCACCTTGACCTGTGCCATTGAGTTCCGGTGACCAGAAAGGATTTGGCAACTCTTCCTCAAAGCTTACGAAAGCAATACTTGAGAAAAAAAGTGAATCGGATGAATTTTTATGAATTATTCTGCATTTCAGGTTTCTTTTTGTGCCCAAAAAAGTCACATATACTGCATAACAACCTTTCATCCATGTATTAGCTAGAAGCTATCATACCAGTACAAAAATACCCACACCAGTTATTAAAATTGAAGACTATTTTTAAATTTGTAAAAATGCTACTGTGCTGGGTGATTATAGTTTGGGTTTCGGTACCCTACGCCATATGCAATCAGGAGTGCTAAAGCTGGTAGAAGGGGGTGGGAGGCATTTTTAAAATCTGCCACACTGGGGGCCCAATCCTTTCAAGTGCCCATTTGGGCATGCCACAGAACTCCTCGGAAAGGACGGGCTCCCCGCCCCACCCTGAGCAGGCGCGCAGCGAGCTGGCCAGGCTGCCCTGCAGGAGGACGCGGCTCCCCCTGCGCTCAAGGTGCGCATTCGAAGGTCGGCGACTCGCTCAGCGCTGCGGTCGGGGCGCCCGGGCGCCGGGTCTGCGTGATCTTCTGCTTGGGGCTTTTGGTTTCTTCTTCCTCTTCGGTTTCGCTTTCGCAGACGTGCACCACCACGCTCGGGGTGGACTCGGTGCCCGCGTGCAGCTCGTACTTTTCCCCTGCAAGGCAAACACTGTGAGCGCGGGAGCCCCGCGGCGGCGGCTCATGCTATCTACTGATGACCTCGCCGCTGGCGAACTTCCAAAATCAATTTCGTTTACTGGTGCATTCTAAATGCACACGATGGTCGCGGTCATCCAGGGAATTTGTACCTGCACACGAGATAACTTCTTTCTTCCCCATTCCCCCGCCCTCTCTTCAATCCCTCTTCCCGTCCTCATTTACAAAAGCCTTGCTGCCATTTTTCCATCTTTTCTTTTCTCTTTCTTCTTTTCGCCCTCCCGCCTCCCTAGTTCCCCTTCCCATTTGAACATTTCCTATTTTACAGTGTCTGTTACATATTTCGGCCCTTATTTACGTTTCTGGTTTCTGGCATCAGAGAAACACTGTGGTATTTCCACCTGTGTCAGATGTATTTCACCTAAGAGTATGGCCTCGCGCTG